TGCAAAAAATGTACAGATTATCACCTCCTACTAGAAAACAACATTTTTAGCTCAGCCTGAACAGTGAAAATGTGGGGATAAAAAACATGGCAGGAGCAGCATGGGGTTTGTTTCAAGCTCCCTGCCCAGCAGCACACTGATATTTGTGAAGATAGTTGAAAGGAAAACTACCTTAGCAATCAGCTAGCCACTAATCCTGCCCTAAAAGCCTCTGCTTGAAATTTCAGGCATTTCAGTTATTACTTTAGTGCACAAAATTCTGAGAAATATTTGCCTGGGTAATACAACAGTTCAAAACTTCAGCCCAGTTCCAACAGAGAAGACAACCCAGTTTTCCAAAGGATTAGGCCCTCAAGGCTGATTCCAGCCTGTCTGCCAAAACTTTTTAACATCCAGCCCAGCAGAGCAGTAAAACTACAGTTTTTTTTTTCTCAGGAAGGGTTGTCTACCTGTCTAGCTTGTTTATATAATGACTGACATGGTTTGGGGAAACTCTCAAGGTATTGGTAACTCCATGGGATTTTCAGTTTCATGGTAAAGCAATTCTATGACAAAATATTATGACAGGCAATATTTGTGCAGGAGGGAAGAGAAGGATGATCACACATCTGACTTAATGATCACTTTTGCATTTTGCCAACAATAATGTGTGTGCTCCACAACATGTCCCTGCTCTCCTCCTCTGTCCAAAAGACAGACAAAATGAAACCAACTATCTGAAAACAAACTAAGCCAAAACATCTGACCACAACCATGGAAAATAAGAATCTTTCTAGCCACCTTCATAAAGCAATATTCCCTTTATGAACTAAGATTTGGTTCTCTCTTTATTAGCAAGATTTTTTCAATCTGGAATGAATTAAAATCCATTCCTGTATTTTTATCTAATGGCTGTATATGGAAAAAAAGATGCAGAATTTTAGAAAAATAAAAGATTGGAGACCTCAAGAGGTCTCAAGTTGTACCTCCAACCCAAAGCAGGGTTAAATTCAAAGTCAGATGAAGTTGCTCAGGGTCTTGTCCAGTTGAGATTTGAAAGTGTCCAAGGACAGAGATTCTACAGCCTCTCTGGGCCACTGCTCCAGGGCTCAGTCACTCTCACTGTGGTTTTTTTTCCTAATTTCCTTACAATTGGTAGATACGAGCAACTAGAAGAATAATTTTTATGACTGATGCAAGCAAACTCCTGCTTGAAGAGAATTAGCTTCTAAACTGCATCTACAAGTTTTATAAATGCTGAAAAACATTGTAAATAGAATCCATGTTACATACTCAGTTATTATGGACATGGTTCAAGGGTGGACTTGGCAGTCCTGGGTTAATGGTTGGACTTGAATATCTCAAAGGTCACTTCCAACCTAAACAACTCCATTATTGTCCCCTTTCTATACATGTAGTTGATACCTCTGGAGTTCCAGCTGGGAAAATGTCCAGCTTACAGAAATTGAGCACATTTTATAATTACATCTAGTGAGAATTCTTTGCTGCAATGGTAATTCCAGGGCAACACCTTCCCAAGGTAAAGAGTGCACTAAAAGCCACACGTACCTGTAGTACCTTAACTGCAAGGAACTCCCCAGGAGCAGTGTGTTTGGGTTTGCAGACCACCTACAAGTCATTTTAGCCAAGTACCCATCTGTTTCACATGTGATGTTGACATCCACATCTAATTAAAACACAGGGGGAGTTTATTAAGAAGAGCTACACACAAAACAAAACGTGCATTACAAGTCAGAACTGCTCAATAAAAGCTCACCCGAGTTTCAAATGGAAATATTCTGACCTTGCTATTAAAATGCATCAAAATGATAATTTAAAATCATCTGTGCTCTTACCTACTACATATAATTCAGCGTATCTATGATGACATTCCCTATTTTGGTGACAACAGTATAACGCGTTATAGAAGAAACTTCCTCTAGGTTTTGTTGCTTTCAAGTTGAAAAGAGTAACTTTGCTTACACGGTCATTCACAAGTGTGTACTGACTGTCTGGGATTTCTTCTGCTAAGTTCAGCCACCAAACAATCTTCTTGGAGCTTACAAGCGTGGTTTTGTTTTTGTAGATGCAGTGAAAGGAAACGTTAGAACCAGCACTGGTCAGTATCTTAGGAGGGAAGTACAGGACTTCAGCTGCACAGAAAGGGATTAGGGGGGGAAAGAAAAAGGAATCCTTTGATTGGAATCTGAACAAAAAAGAACCATAAAGCTGTATGTCAAAAGAAAAAAATATGATTATTATTACCATCCAGTTGTATTTCTAAATTGCCTGCTTCTTAATTGGTATTAACAACTACAGGGGAGAGGGGCAGAAACGAGCCTTTGACTGTCTCTCTCCAGAACTGATGCTTGTAAATTCTGATAAAAAACAATCTTTAATATCCCCCCAGCAGGCAGGAATTAAATGAGCAGAAAATCTCTGGAGGGCACAGTGAAAGCAATACACAGCAGCACAGGGACACGGGGCTCCTGTAAATTAAATTTTGGGAAACTCAATTAACACTGCTGCTTTTCCCTCAGCCCATGTTTTTAAGGTCAGCTTATTTAAATACTGCCACAAGTGCTTGCAGCCTAGAGGGGGTGAGTTTCTGTAACTTGTCTCACAAATACATACACCACAAATTTAAAAATCCTAAAATTGTCCTCAGGTAATATTGAGAGAAGATTGAAATGAGAGAAGAGTCATGTTTAGGTTTGGAAAAAAAAAATCTCTTTGAAAGCTGCATGGATGCTGAAATTTTATGTTTAGCTGAAGCATTACAGTAAGACTGGAACATGGATTTTAAGAGAATTGCTGTTCAGAACTGTAGGAGGGGGGATTCAGAGTAAATAAATGAAATAAAATACAAACCCCAAGCTCTCCCATAGTTCCTAATCCTGCTCCTATTGAAGTCAGCAGGAGATTAATGTCTCAAAAACTTGTTTCACCATCTCAGCAGTGTAGCTAATACCAAATGGTAGCAGTGATACAGTCAATAATTCACCTGGGTGTAAAGATCCTGTATTTGCACAGCATGCAAACACCCAGCAGCTCAGCCTCAGCCAGGCACTCAGGGAAGCTACAGGTGTCACACGCCTGCTGAAAAGCAACAGTTTGCCAAAGATCAACCCAAAACCAGCAGGGAAATCCTGAAAAGGTCACACTGTCCTGCTCCCAGCACTGCTCTTCCAACAGCTCTTCCCAACACGGCCTGCTGGGGGAACAGGCCAAGCTGAGCTTCCTGCAGAGGAGAAATTAACCCCTCTCTGCTGCCACCAGTTTGTCACAAGGGGATGGTTTTGCTGATGAGATGTAAGTTGAATACACATCCTGTTCCATTTCCTGTAACAGGATTAATAAAAAATAATCTGGCAGGACCTCCTGCACCTCTTTTACATCCATATTTCTCAACACAGTCATGAATAAATTCTGAAAATATCAGTGTGTGTGTGTGTGAGAGAGACAATGTGTATTTACCCCCCAAAAATTCTCAAAGCTATATAGGTTTATATATAAATATAAGTATATATGTATGCACACACACTTTTTTTTTTAAAATTCATAGAATCACAGAATAGTTTGGGTGGGAAGGGACCTTTCAGGGTCATCTAGTTACTTCCTTGGTCCTTAATACATAAACTAGACTCTATAGCACACAGCAAGCAGGTGCACACCTAAGTGCCTGGGTAAAGCTCTAGTGTTGTAATGGAACAGTCCAGAGGACAACACAGATCAAAAACATTCCCAGTTAATCGTAGGGAGAGAGTGGAAAAATAAAATATAAAAAAATCTTGCAATCTTCAGGCTAACCCAAAACCAGCTGAACTTGTAAAGCAACTCAGCAATCCTGGTAACAGAGGAAGAATTTGCCAAACCAAATGTTCTCCCCTTCCCATACACTCAGACCATGATTGAAGAGCCATTATGACCTATCCTTTCAGCAGCTCTGTTGACATAAGTGACCTCATTAAAACCCAAGAGCCCTTTTCTCAGTCCAGGAGAGCTCTTACTGTGTGTGGCACGTCAGGAACTCGTTGTGTTTGGGCAGGAAATTGATTTCAGCCTAGATTATATTCTTCACACTAAAGGCACGTGCACTGGACCTGACTGACCATGGCTGTTAGGTGGTTTATGAAAGGGGTTCAACATCACAAACTAAAAGGGATGATGTTAAAACTACAGACCCCAAACTGTTCTGTGCTTTTAGTTCAGCTACAAAGCCTCACCTGAAACTGAACGTTAGAGAAAGCATCAGGAGGAAAATCCTGTATTGGGTAGAGGTTAAATGCTGCCAAGTGTATTTTGAAATGGAAAAATTATTAGAAAAAGGGTTTTTTCTTGGTCTGAATAAGAGCTTGGTGAGCAAGCAGCAGGGCCAGATAAGGAGGGCTCATGAAGCTGACAGTGCCATCCACACACCTTAGTCTAGAACTTTTTAAATGCAAGTCTGCACAAGGGGAAGAGCAGAATCTGAGGTGAAGCCAGGCAGAAAGAGAAGCCGAAGAGGAAAGAACTTCCACAGGATTTTTCAGCCCAACTCGTGTGTACTGTCCCTCCCTGGACAACACATGCTCTCAACTACTCATTCCACAAACAATCCAAACTGGGAACTGTGACAAGAGCACTTACAGCACGGGACCTACCTCCCAAGTTGAGGTTGTAAGGTGTGCTCCAGTCACTCCAGAGCCCTGCACCACGGCGGTTCCTGCACCGCACTTCAACCCAGTAGGAAGAATCAAGTAAGATATGGTCTATGGCCAGTGAGGTTTCCAGAGCAACCTGAACCATCTGTTGGATTATCAGAAGCCATTATTGTTGTATAATAGAAGAGAAAAAAGAAAGAGACAGAAAGAATCAAAATAAATAGTCTAGAGAGTAGCTTGGGAAAAAAAGCTTTCCTTTTTAAATTGGTCCCCTCACTCCAAGGAGGACCTTGAGGGGCTGGAGCGTGGCCAGAGAAGGGCAACGGAGCTGCTGGGGAAGGGTCTAGAGCCCAAGTGTGGGGAGGAGCAGCTGAGGGAGCTGGGGGTGCTGAGCCTGGAGCAAAGGAGGCTCAGGGGAGACCTTCTGGCTCTGCACAGCTCCTGACAGGAGCCTGGAGCCAGGGGGGGGTCGGGCTCTGCTCCCAAGGGACAGGACAAGAGGAAACAGCCTCAAGTTGCCCCAGGGGAGGTTGGGGGTGTCCCTGAGGCACAATTTCTTGCCCTGGAGGGTTGCCCAGGGCTGTGCCAGGCTGCCCAGGGCAGTGGTGGAGTCCCCACCCCTGGAGGGGTTTCCAAGCCGTGGAGATGTGGTGTGAGGGACACGGGGCAGTGGGGACCTGGCAGTGCTGGGGGATGGTTGGACTCGATGATCTTAAAGGTCTCTTCCACCCAGACTTATTCTATGAAATTTACTGTAAATTCAAACCTGGTATATGGCTGCACACCCCTGTGGAAAATACTACTGCAGCATGGATTGCTAATTAACAGCTGCTGCTTATTCCAGAGCCAGCTGCATGGAAGCAACAGAAAAAAGCAATTCACTAAGAAAAGCTATAAATATGAAACATATATGCATGTGACATGGAATTGGGGATCTGCTGAAAGGAGACAGCTTAGTCCCTAGATATCACAGAATCTCATGTTTCATCCAAGAAGAAAGATGGGCTTTTGTTGGTAAGACTCCACAGGAGATGGGTCTTTCCTCATTGTGTAGCACCTCTCCTAGTGTAAGAGATGTAAAACCCAGCTCTACCACACTCTGTTGATGTTTACCAGCCCTACTGGACACAAAAGCTGAGGAGAAACCCATGTGCTATGCCCAGTTCCACCAGACCAGCCATGTTGCTCAACCCACCAGAGACACTGCCCAAGGACAAGGAGGGTGGTAAGGAATCCTGGGCTCTGGGAGAGAGTGACCAACCTCCACCATCCATTGTGACACCAAGCAAGCAGAGTCAACTCACCTGCCAGCTGTTTTGACCTGAATTTGAGGAGATCTTCACTTCATACTGAAGTGGGAATGGCATCAGCACAGGGTCTGACCAGCAGATCTTCACTTGACCTTTCTCTGTCATTCCTACGTGCAGGTTCAGGGGAGGTTCAGGCTTTACTGGAGACAAATTAATTGACAAGTTTACCACCACCCTTAATGCCAGTAACTGCTGGTGGTCATGGGATTTTACTGATTCAGAAGTCTCTCTGATGCTTTTCTTTATACTGAAGCCAGAAAGCCCCAATGGCAGCCTGGGCTGCCCCCCCCAGCAGCATGGGCACAGGGCAGGGAGGGGATCCTGCCCCTCTGCCAGCTCTGTGAGACCCCCCTGCAGTGCTGGGGCAGCTCTGGAGTCCTCAGCACAGCAGAGCCAGGGACCTGCTGGAGCGGGGCCAGAGGAGCCCCAGCAATGCCCCGAGGGGGGAACCCCTCTGCTGGGAGCCCAGCAGGAGAGAGTTGGGCTGGGGCAGCTGAGAGGAGAAGGCTCCAGCTGGGGAGACCCCCTGGGGGCTGCCAGGACTGCCAGGGGCCTGCCAGAAAGCTGGGGGGGGACTTTGGAGCAGGAACTGTTGGGACAGGACAAGGGGGGATGGTTTGAAATGACAACAGTGAGATTTAGACTAGAGAGAAGGAAGAAATTTTTGGTGCTGAGGGTGTTGAGCCCCTGGCCCAGGCTGCCCAGAGAGGTGGTCGCTGCCCCATCCCTGGCACCATCCCAGGGGAGGTTGGCCGGGGCTCTGAGCACCCTGCTCTAGCTGCAGATGTCCCTGCTCCCTGCAGGGGGGTTGGACCAGATGACCTTTAAAAGGTCCCTTCCCACCCAAACCAGTCTATTTTTCTATGACCCTGTTGCTGTTCTCCATGCTGTTAAAGAGGTTTAAAATACAGGTCACACTTACCTATGTCTATGGGCTTGACAGACATCAAAGGTGACCACAGAGGTGTTGCACCAACTGTCATCTTCAGCCACATGATGTAGGTGTGGTTGAGTGTCAGGGATGGCACACAGCACTCACACTTGTCATACTCACTACACTCACACTGGGCAGCCAGGACAGGCCCCTCCAGAGAGCTCGTAGAGACATCTCCCAGAGACAGCTCTGATCTACAAGGGAAGAAACAAACAGTACACCAAAACAAATCAGTATTTCTTCCTATACTCTGTCTCAATAGAGGTTTGTCCATCTGTATAAGGTTAGACATTAGGAAAAACATCTACATTGGAAGGGTTATCAAGGACAGGAACAGGCCCCCCAGGGAAGTGGCTGAATCACCATCTCTGGATGTATTTTAAAGCCATCTAGATAGGTTGCTGAGGAAATATGGGGTAGAAGTGGCCTGGTAGAATTAGATAATGGTTGGACTTGATCTTGAAGGTCCTTTCCAACCATAGCAATTCTGTGATTCTATTTGCCCAAGGGAAAAAATAAATACATTTTTAAAAAGGGCAGTACTTTTAACCAATTGCTTTTGCTCTACTGCTTCTCCACTTTCATATCCTCTCCAAGTTAAGCAGTTAAGATGATTTTATGGAAAGTATTCCTAAGGTTTGGATTTAGGACAAATGTGTTCCAACAGTAGACAATACCTGTAGTTTACTCAGACTAGTTTCTGGCTCCTGATGGTGGCTATCACTAGATACTTCTTAGGTACACAAAGTTAATTTACTTTCCAGTGGACCAGTTGGCAGCTCTCTGCCACCCCCATAGACATTGTGTTCTAATTGCCACTCATGAGGCATGGAAATAAAAATCTAAACAATTCAGCATTCCTTCTAGCTTCTGTTGTAATTAATCATTAAAAGTAATTTAATAATAACAACCATTCAAGTGAATAAGAAGCTCTGGAATAACACAAGGCTAAAAACTCCACCATTCAGAACACACTTTAGTACTCATCTTCAACAACTTTTGAGTATCTGAGAAACAAGCAGACACCTGTGGCCTCCAAAAGTCACCACACTATGCAGTTAATTCCATGATAAGGCTTTAATTATCTATATGCATTGTATGTTTGGCTATTAAAGAGTCTGAAGCTTCCTAGGAAAGCAAATTATTTGCTCACACACATTACTACTGTTGTCTTACACAGGCTCATGGCAAGTTTTTAGTAAGTTACTGCATTTGGGTTTCTTGCTTTTCAGAGTAAAGTTCATGGGGACTCTTTTTGACTGAATGGTCAGATTTAGTTTCAAGCTTTTTTTTTTTCAACTTTTTTCCTACTACTGCTCCTTCCTTGGGAATTTAACATACACGGTTCTTGTTGGCTCCTGTTGAGCTTTTGCTCAACCAGCACCCCCAAGTCCTTCTCCTCAGGACTGCTCCTGACCCCTACTCTGCCCAGCCTGAATTTGTGCTTGGAAAAAGCCCTGGAAAAATCTTTTATTCTGAGAGCAACCAGCAGCTCCCAAAGCACTCTTCATTCTCACTTCCACTCCATGGAAATTCTCTTGGCTCTGGGAGGCAGACATTTATGGTGTCCCGCAGGTACTCAGTGACACCACCCTCCTTAAGGCAGTGGAGTTAATAATGTCAATACTTTGTAGCCAAACTTCTCCCAGCAGCAAAGCCAAAACAAATCTGACATTAAAACTATCCTGGATTCTCTCCTGCATATGACACCTCATCCTTACAAAAAAAAAACCCCTTGTGTGATGAATTGTTCTGAAGTAGTTTTAGAATTATTTCTGTATCCAGTATGGCATTTGTTTCACTAATTCAGAAACTGAAGTTCATAGAATAAGGACCTTTCTGTAAGGTTTTAAATAGTTTTACAGTTTGTATGATTCATGGTAACATGTGAATTCAGAGAGGCAGAGAACTCAACATCTGGAGAAGGAGGGACAAGGTTTTCTGCTTTTTTTGCTTGTTTTCAGTCAACAGAGAGAGCACCTCTGCTCTCCAGCAGTGACCCAGAAGCTCTGCAGGTTCATGTGTCTGTAGTTTACATTTATTAGTATTACATTCACCCAACACTGACATTCCTGAAGTAATTTATACTAGAACTCATAGACTTTAGAACATGAGGATCATGGAACCTTGTGCTCATGGTGTCTGGCAGACATACAGCTTTTAAATTACTTGGAATATTTTTGGGTTTAAAGTTGTGGCTCCACTTCTTTCTCCTGAATTTCCTTTCAAAGACTTGGCAGAGTTTCCTTTTAAGTTTCCCTGCCTTCTATTGTTTCTCACAGATTTTATGAGTCTCAAAAACCCCATGATCAATCCATAGGAATGCACTCTTCTCATCAAACCATGGCTTTAATCTGATCTAGCTGGAAAGCAGTTACCACCCCCACCACCCCCATCTTTCTCCTTATCATTCTGAATAATTATTTCAATTTTTAACAGTCAAACTGAGCTTATTTGCAACCAGAAGACTATCCATGTACAGGAGGAAAAAAGGAGCTCCTCCCCATGTTGTGTTGTGCTGGTATTGTTGAGATTTAGATTAGGTGTATGGAAGAAATTCATCACTGAGGGTGGTGAGACCCTGGCCCAGGCTGCCCAGGGAAGCTGTGGATGCTCCATCCCTGGAGGTGTTCAAGGCCAGGCTGGATGGGGCTTGGAGCAACCTGCTCTAGTGGGAGGTGTCCCTGCCCATGGCAGGGGGTTGGAACTGGATGATCATTAAGGTCCCTTCCACCCAAACCATTCTGTGATGATTCAATGATCATTATCTCACAAAACCTGAGTTTGAGATAAGAGAGTAGCTCAGTGCATGATCATGAGGGGCCCCCACATCAGCTTACTCCAAATGGCCAAGCCTGGGTAAATGTATGAGACCTGATCACAAGCAAAACAACAGAAAGCCAAAGTGTTTTGGAGAACTGCAGCAGATGGGATGGCACAAGCAGCCTGTTGGCTTCTGTTTGGCTGCAGATGGATCCAGCTGCAGAATAACCACAGTTCCCAAACTGTAGGTACTGACTTTAAAGGAGCTGATGCTTACAAAGCCCTCACAAGTTCAGGAGAGTTCAGTGCCTTCATTCAGTAGAACGAGAGGAGAAATTTGGGGTAAACTAAAACAAAGTAATGGCTTATTAAAAACTGGATTTTTCCAAGAGACTCACAGCACACTGACAGAAGCCATATATCCTGGTTCAACAAGCACTTGACATGACACAACAGTGATCAGATCTGAGCCAGATCCGAGTTGTGGTGGGGGAAAGGAAAGACAAGAGGGCTCATAAAATATCTGAATATATATTTTATCCCCGTGCAGTTTTATAGCACTGGCTGCTGGAATTGGAGAGATTTGTCTTGGTACAGAGAGGAAAGTGAAAACCAGATAAGTAGGAAGCATAGGAACTTTTGTGAACAGATCACTAGAGCCCACCTCTGAGCTTGTCCAAGCATCCCTCAGAAGATGCTGTTCCTTAGGTTAATCTGTGGCCTCCTGAGGAAATTTTAGACTTTAAACACTGCAGAATGTCTTTCCTGAATCTCAATTTCATGAAATTGGATCATCTAACTGAAAACAAAAGGTCAAAATGGTTTTAGGAAGAAATAGATGAATTTCTGCTATTCCTCCATTTTCAGGAAAGGTGCAACACCACACTTAGGCAGCTAAGTTGAGGCATATCAGAAGGACCTGGCCAGGCTGGATCAATGGGCTGAGGCCAATGGGATGAGATTCAACAAAGCCAAGGGCTGGGTCCTGCACTTGGGTCACAGCAACACCCTGCAGCTCCAGGCTGGGGGAAGAGTGGCTGGAAAGTGCCTCACAGAAAAGGACTTGGGGGTGTTGATCCAAGTGAACAGCCAGCTGGAGATGAGCCAGG